AGCAGGGGGAAGAAGGGGCCCGAGCAGCCGGCTGGGGAAGTGTCCCTGGAAGGAGCCTGGCCAGGGGAAGCGAGCGTTCGTCTCTCGCGTCGCGCATCCCCTGCCGTTCAGGGAGCCCGTCCTTGGGAAGTGGGAAAATTGGGAAGGATTCGGATGGTGATTCAGAGATTTGAAAACCTGCTTGAAGCTGATGCGCCAGATAAATCCATTTACCTCACAGGGAAAAAAATAAAAGGCCAGGGTGGTGTGCCGGGGCCATGGCTCTGCAGGGCAGCGTTCCTGGCAGCCGGTGTTTGGCAGTGTGGTGGGCAGATGGGCTCTGCCTCCTGCCAGCCAGGCCTGGCAATGCTGCAGCGTTCCCGGGTGAAATGCTAAAGGCCGTATTTTCCTGGCAGGAGGGCACGTCCATCCAGTTAGCACTGAAAAAGACGACCATTTTCTCCTTGCAGCAAGAGCTGAGCCCTGTTACTTCTGCTTTTCTCAAAGGGCAGGGCCCCGCTGGGCCTCAAGAAACTGATACGCCCTGTTCTGGCAAGACTGGGTGTGTTTTCAGGATGAGTCAGCTGTTCTGAGAGTGCTTACATGGCTGACCTCACTGCGCTAATGACTTACCTGCTTGTAATAGAAAGTGCGGTCAGCACTTAAAATGGTCTCATTCAAAGCTTTCCGATTCAGTGCTAGGAAATGACATTATTACAGTTTCACCGTAAATAGAGGTGTCTGCGTTCTCCTGTCTCTTCGGGCGCTTCCCTGCCAGCTGTTTGGCTTCCTGTGCTTGTCTCCAGCTGAACCCGGGGGCCGCTCGCTGCGAGGGTGGCACCGACAGGAACAAAGCCCCCTCCAGTGGCACCCGGCTGGAGGCAGGTGTTTCCTGCCTGCCTTACGATGGCAATGGTCAAAAGCGGTGACTGAAAGCGATCTTAAAAGTTAGTGGGTGCCACAAAGCTCAGCGGGAGGAGAAAGGGATTTTAAACAGCTGAAAGAACGTTTAATAGGCTGAGTAAGAAAGGTCTTAGGCACCGTTTGACAGCATTTCTGTTGAGCAGACACTTCTCAACACCACATCTCCTCAGCCATGATTTCAGGAGATGCGCTAGGGTTTAGTGGGCAGAACACCAGGGAACCCGGGAGGGGGAGATGGGGGCGAGAACGATAATTTTCCTTGCAGCTAGTTAACACCCCTGACAGCTTCAAATATTTTGTTTAAAGATTTAAGAAGTTGTTGGCAACTGTCAGCAGCTAAGCGTGGGAGGGAATCATTGGGAGGGGGGAGAAGGGGCCCAAACATTCTCTAGAGAGGGGGGATATACGGGACTCTGATAGGTGGAAGAATGGACAAGCGGGGCGAACAGTCACAGGGGGACTGGCTGTTTGCAGTAAAACTGTAGAAGCAGAAAGAAGTAGAGCGTAGGAGTGTAGATGTGACAGACACGAGATGTTGAAAGGACAACGTCCTCAAGCCACGGAAGCATCCAGGCATGCTAAAGCAGTATTTATTTTAAGGCTTCCTACTGAGTCAGTCTGTTTCTCTCTGAAATTGCAGAAATAGAACTGGGCCATTTTATAATCCCTGAGGAACCTTCAGGCCTACCCTCAGCGTAGAGCTGCTGCCTACAGTGCAACGTCTTCATCCCCCTGGTCACAGCACCAAGTAACGTTTGGGCGCGAGAGCCTGTGTGGGGGCTGTGCTCTTCTGCCGCTTTACTCCACCGCAGGTCACCCCGCAAGCCAGCTACTCTGGGGAACGCTGAAACGAGATGGGGAGTAACAAGGCTGGGAGGCTTTTATCTGCCCTGCAGAGTTCCTGCTGGTGTGCTTACACTGGGACCATTTGTTTTCCTGCTGGCATGGCTAATTTTCACCCTGGAATCGCGTCACTGTACTTCTGCTGGCGTGGCTGTGTCTGTTCAGGAGCTGCTGTTTTGTTTTTCTGCTAGCACAGCCCCAGCAGCCGGAAGGTAAATAAATCCCTTGGCCGTTAGCACTGAATAAGCATGGTGTAAGGTGCCTTTCTGGCCGGGGCAGGCTCGGCCAGAGACAGGCTTTGGCAGGGCTGCCGTTGGGACAGCAGCGGCTCAGGGTCTGCTCCCCTGCACGGAGCTCAGCAGGGCTGCAGGCTGATGGGGAACAGGCCAAGCAAAGGCTCCCGCTCAAATGGCTCGAGGCTGGTGAGTCAGGGTTGAGGAAGTGCCGCAGCTCATGTCGAGAAGGATTTTTTTCAGCGCAGTGAGTTCCTGCTGCCCATAATCCGATGTACTCTCCACATTTCAACATCCTGCATTAATGAGGGAAGTAGATATAACTGAAAAAATAATCCCCCAAATCAAGCAGCTTCTGCTCCAAAGCTGAAATGGCTACTGAAAACATCCTGTTTTTTCCACAAAGCTGTACTGGGAATTAAGAAATAGCCCGCTGAGGATTGTGCAATCCAAAGCTCAATGACTCAGGGGTAGCAGCGATCAGGGTGGAGCCGGCTGTGGGTTTTGCCCCAGTGTGAGCCCGGAGGGGGCTTTGAATGTAGGTACAGTAACAAAGCAGCCAGTGAATTGGTGAGGTGAGAAGATATGAACAGGAGAAAAACAGAAAAAACTCAAATCCCAAGTGTTTTTAACCATGAAAACTGTTCACGAATGCTTGACAATGTTATGCCTTCCTTTGAAAGCCCGAGTTTCTGGTCTGGGTTAGTACTCCTCAATCCTGCACCAAGTTATACTCAGTGGTACAAGGCGCCTTGAGGAGTGGCTTGTAATGAAACTATGCTTACAGAGCCATTTAAGGAGTGAAAATGTACACGCAGGAGGCCCCGAGGCACAGGGCAGTAAGATGGCAGGTGACATTTGCCACAGCTTCACG